TCAGACCTTCTCCCCCACCTCGAAGATGACCACTCTTCGGGTACTGCTGCACGTTGCTGCTCACCGTGACTACGAGTTGCACTCTCTTGACTTCAGCACTGCTCTCTTGCAGGGCAGCCTGCACGAGGAGATCTGGCTTTGTCGCCCACCTGGCTTCACTGGGTCTTTCCCTCCTGGTACCCAGTGGAGTCTCCGTCGTCCAGTCTACAGTCTCCGCCAGGCACCACGTGAGTGGCACGACACACTGAGGACTACACTTGCGGCTCTTGGGTTTGCTCCTTCTACTGCCGACCCGTCGCTGTTTCTACACACTGACACCTCTCTGCCGTCGTTCTACATCCTCGTGTACGTCGACGACTTGGTCTTTGCCACAGGTGACACTGCTGGACTCGCCTACGTGAAGTCCGAGCCGCAGAAGAGACACACGTGCACTGACCTGGGTGAACTGCGCAGCTACCTTGGCTTGCAGATCACCCGGGACAGAGCACGCCGCACCATTAGCCTGACTCAGTCACACATGGTGCAGCAGGTCCTTCAGCGCTTCGGCTTCACGTAATCCTCGCCTCAGGCCACTCCTCTGCCTACTCGCCACTCGCTCTCAGCTCTGCCTTCGGATGAGTCCGTAGAGTCGAGTGCCCCGTACCCAGAGCTTGTTGGCTGTCTCATGTACCTGATGACCTGCACACGACCTGACCTTGCATACCCTCTTAGCATTCTTGCACGCTATGTTGCTCCTGGGAGACACCGACCAGAGCACATGGCTGCAGCGAAGAGGGTGTTGCGCTACTTGTGCAGTACGTCGGGCATGGGGCTAGTGCTTGGAGGGCGGAGTCGAGTGGTCCTCACTGGGCACGCGGACGCTTCTTGGGCTGACGACCAGGCTACGCAGCGGTCGTCACAGGGTTAGACCTTCAGCCTCGGTTCCGGCTCTGTTTCGTGGCGGGCTACTCGCTCGTCTTCTGTTCTCGGCTCTAGTTGTGAGGCTGAGATCTACGGCGGGGCCATGGCTGCACAGGAGCTTCGTTGGCTCACCTACCTGCTGACCGACCTTGGAGAGCCGCCTCGTTCTCCTCCAGTCCTGTACGTAGACAACAAGGCCATGCTGGCCTTGTGTCGAGAGCAGAGACTGGAGCACAGAACAAAGCACATTGCTCTTCACTACTTCCTTGCTCGTGAGCTACAGCAGCGTGGTCAGTTGCGGCTTGCGTACGTGGCCTCTGAGGCCAACACTGCTGATGTCTTCACCAAGGCACTTGTGCCTTGTGATCATCAGCGCTTCTGCACGCAGCTGGGTCTTGTGCCTGTCTTGCCTCACTTGCTCACCTCTTGACCTTGCTTATACTGTTGCATATATATACACCTGCTCTTGCTTATCTAGTCCTTTATATATATGTACTCCTGCGTGTGAACTGGCCTTGTGGCCATGAACTTGTGCTCAGAATGTGTGGTGACTTTGTGATCCACCGTGAGCTTGCTTTGCTTGACTGGTCTTGTTCTACTTTCCTCACGCGCTGTGCAGGGCAGCAGGGCGCGACGCGCGGGGCAGCAGAGCGCGATGCGCTGGCTGCAGTAGGGTGCGACGCGCGAAGCAGCCAAGCGCGACGCGCGGGCTGCAGAAGGGCGCGATGTGCGGGCTGCAGCAAGGCGCGACGCACGGAGCAGCTGGGCGCGACGCGCGGAGTAGCAGAGCGCGACGCGCGGGCTGCAGCAGGGCACGACGCGCAAGACAGTAGTGGCGCGCGGGGCAGGGGCTGCTCGCAGGCAGCAGTGGCGCGCGGGGCAGGGGCTGCTCGCAAGCAGCAGGGGCGTGCGGGGCAAGGGCTTCACGCGGGCAGCAGGGGCGCCTCTGCTGCCTGAACCCCATGCAGGGAGTGCGAGTAGCTGCAGAGAGGGCGCGCGCGCGCCGTTGCAGGTAGTGCGAGGCAGCGCGACAGTAAGGTAGCGCGCTAGGGCAGGTAGTGCGAGTAGCTACAAGGAGGGCCGGACAATGCAAGGGTTCTTCGGGCAGGAACTTAGCAAAACGATCGGTGGGCCCTAGAAACTTAACAGGTTTCCTGCTCTGATACCATGTCAGAATAACTGTGCAGGAATGATTGGATTAGTAAGATTTGGGATACAAGTACTAACCCCAGAAGTGTTGTACCCTTTAAGGAGTGCCCCATTATAGTCTACAAGTAAGATTGTACATTGACACAACAAAGTGTTTCAGTTAGACGTGTTGGTGCGATAAAAAATGACGGGGCTCGATTCTTTCTTCGGGAAAATTATGGTAGCGAAACTCGGTAGCGCTATTTTGTCAGATATATATGCCTTAGTCTTTGTAGGCTCTAGTGTGGTAGTCACTAGTGTCAGAATATTATGTTTCTCTAGTCTGCAGTGGGGTACTCTATAGTGAGTACAACCCTGTTAGGGTTTGCTATATGTATCCCAATGTTTGCTAGTGAACCTCCTCCTTCTTCATTCCTCATTTCTTCACATGCTATCAGAGCATCTACGCTCCTGGCCTGTGGGCCCGCCTAACTGCTTCCGCTGCTACTCTGTGTTCTGCACGCCCCGTGGCGTGCCCCTCGCGCAACCCTTAGTGGCCCCGTCGCCACCCCTCGCGGCCCCGTCGCCGCCCTTCTCGGCCCCTCGCGGCCCCGTTGCCGCCCCCTTCAGGCCCCTCGCGGCCCCTTCGCGGCCCGTCGCCGCCCTTCCAGGCCCCTCGCGGCCCCTTCGCGACCCCGTCGCCGCCCCTATCGGCCCCGTCGCCACCGCCAGCGGCCCCGTCGCCGACCTCTCAGGCCCCTCGCGGCCCCTTCGCGGCCCCGTCGCCGCCCCTATCGGCCCCATCGCCGCCGCCAGCGGCCCCGTTGCCGACCCTAGCGGCCCCGTCGCCGCCTCTATCGGCCCCGTCGCCGCCGCCAGCGGCCCCGTCACCGACCCTAGCGGCCCCTTCGCCGCCCCTATTGGCCCCGTCGCCGCCTCCAGCGGCCCCGTCGCCTCCACTTGCGGCCCCGTCGCCGCCCCTTTCGGCCCTTCCTCGACCCTGCCCCAGCCCCGCCCCGGCCATGCTCCGTCGCCAGTCGCGGTGCACCGGGGGCACGTGCACCGCCCCCCCCCTCTTTTCCCGTCGCCTGTCGAGGCGACCTGAGGGGGCCGCGTGGGGGAGGGGGGCGAGCGCCGCCCCTTCTGCCGCCTGTTTTGGCGCCTTGGGAGGCCGTGCGTCGCCCCCCCCCCCCCCCCCCTCGTAGCCACCCTACCCACCGTCCCGCCCTGCCCTGTGTTAGGGTCTGGGGGTGGCGAGTAGGGGGTGGCGGATGTGCGGTCTACCCTGCTCCTCCTCCTCCTCTGACTCCCACTGCTACAGCTGCCGCTGAGGGGGGTGGGTGTGTGGGAGTCGACGGAGTGGTGCTAGGGGGTGGGGTGTGAGTGAACCTAGGGTGCAGCAGGGGGTGTGTGAAATGGGGTGGGATAGTTTGGGGAGGTTGAAGGGGGTGGCCGCCGTGAAGCCCGAAGCTCCAGTCGCCCGTGAGACCGTTGCGCTAGTTGCCCTTGAGCCCATTGCGCCAGTCGCCCGTGAGCCCGTTGCTCCAGTCGCCCGTGAGTCCGTTGCTCCTGCCGCTCAGAGTTAGCCGCGGAGCCAGTTACTCCAGTAGCCCGTGTGCCAGTTGCTCCAGTTGCCAGTGTGCCAGTTTCTCCAGCTGCCCGTGTGCCAGTTGCTCCAGTTGCGCCGTGTGCCAGCAACTTCAGCTGCCGCCCACTACCTCCTCTCCTCTCATAGTCCCTCCTCCTCCACACTTGCCCTCTGCGATAGCCTCTAGCTTTGCTTACATTTGGGAACTTTAAACTGTTGCTTCTTGTACTTGTGCTCAGAATGTGTGGTGACATTGTGATCCACCCTGAGCTTGTTCTTCTTTGCTTGTTGTGCTGATTACACCCCACTTTGACTATGGGGGTGTGTCAGAATATTATGTTTCTCTAGTCTGCAGTGGGGTACTCTATAGTGAGTACAACCCTGTTAGGGTTTGCTATATGTATCCCAATGTTTGCTAGTGAACCTCCTCCTTCTTCATTCCTCATTTCTTCACAACTAGGGGGTACAGGTTTCTAGGGTTTCATATTTGTATCCAACATTTTCCTAGTTCAATCATTCCCTCATTCTTCACATGGTATAGAGCGAGTTCCCTAGTGGGACCGTTTCTTCCTAAGGGCCCACCTTCGAATTTTTTTTAGCCTGCCCGAAGCGCGCTTCGCGACCTGCCCTAAAATTTCGCGGCCCCCCCCTTAGTGGCCTGCCCCTTAACGGCCCCTTAGTGGCCCCTTCGCGGCCCCCTTAGCGGCCCCCTTCACGGCCCCTTCACGGTCCCTGTCGCGACCCCTTAGCGGCCCCTCGCGGCCCCTCTTAAGGCCCTTCGTGGCCCCCTCCTTCGCGGCCCTTCGCGCCCCCCTCACGGCCCTTCGCGGCCCCCTCACGGCCCTTCGCGGCCTCGTCGCGACCCTTCGCGGCCCCTCTCTCGGCCCTTCGCGGCCTCTCCACGGCCCTTCGTGGCCCTTCGCGGCCCCTTCGCGGCCTCTCCGCGGCCCCTTCGCAGCTCTTGCGGCCCCTTCGCGGCCCCTCCGCGGCTCTTCGCGGCCCTGCCGCCCCGTCATCGCCGCCCCAGCAGCAGCTACCGTCGCGCCTGCTGCCCCTGCTGCTTCCGCCACGGCCGTTAGCCGCCGTCGCTGCTGCCGTGACAGCCGCCGCCACCCCTTCCGTGACAGCTGCCGCCGCTGCTTCTAAGACAACCGCCGCTGCCACTGCCGTGACAGCCGCCGCCGCCGTCCTGGCCCTACCCTGCAGCCGAGTCGCGCACCTGCTCTGCCGCCCTGTCGCGGCCCTGATCCTGCCCGCGCACCTCAGCCCTGCCCCACCACTTGCGGGCTTCTACCCAACCGCCCCTGGTAAGCGCACCGCCGAACCGCGCTCCTGCTGCTGCTGCTACTGCTAACCTGCTTCTGCTACTTCTGCTGCTGCTGTCATGGCTAGTCCCAACGTTCTTTCCTTTGGTGCTGAGGGTCGAGCGGTAGACTTTGAGGTCTGGATAGATGATCTGCAGCTTTTCCTGCAGTGCGATAGCAAACACGACCTCTCACTGTTTGATCTCACGTCTGGCGCCTCTACTGCCCCTGCTGCCGATGCTGACAGTACTGTTCGCTCACAGTGGTCCACACGCGATGCTGCTGCCCGTCTTGCTGTGCGTAGTCACCTGCCGTCCACAGAGCGCGCGCACTTTAGCCAATACAAGACTGCTAAGACCCTGTACGACGCTGTAGTTGCACGCTACTCCTCCCCTGCCACTACTGCCCTTAGTCGCCTCATGTTGCCGTACATGTTCCCCGACCTCACCACCTTTGCCATAGTCGCTGACCTCATTACGCACCTCCGCACTAGTGACACCCGCTACCGCGCTGCGCTTCCTGCTGAGTTCTGCACCAAGAACCCCCCCCTATGTATATCACCCTCTACTACCTAGTCACCCGACACCCTGACTCCCTTCGCTCGGTCAGGGACCACTTCCTCTCTATTTGCCCCACCACACTCACCGTTGACCTCCTCGAGGAGCCCCTCTTTGCAGCTGAGAAAAGTATAGTCACTGTAGGAGCCTCTCGTGGTGACCCTCGTGCCCCTATCTTTGAGAGGTGTTCCCCCGTCCCCCTTTTGCCCTCTGTTGCCTCTGCTGCTGCTGTCGACCTCGTTAGCACCAAGTCGGTCGGCATTGCGTCTGCCCCTAGCGGGAGGCGCCGGAACGGCAAGGGCAAGGGGGGCAAGGGTGCTGGGGGAGCGGGCGGGGGCGGTGGTGGTGGCGATGGGGGCGGCGGAGGGGGTGGGGGTGGCGGTGGGAGTGGTGGTGAGGGTGGGGGCTCTGGTGGCAGCGGTGGAGGCGGAGGCGGCGGCAGCGGTGGCGGTGGGAGTGGAGGAGGCGGCGGTGGCGGCGGTGGCGGTGCCGCTGGTTGGGATGGCTCTGTGCCGCGGGGAGGCTTTGGTGGTGGCCAGCGTCAGCAGCACCAGCAGCGCTCTCGTGAGACCCCGCCGCCCCAGCAGCTCCGTGAGTGGTATGCTGCGCGTCAGCGGTCTGGGGGTGCTGGTCCTTGTGCCTACATCCTGCGTACTGGTGACCGCACTGGGGAGCCGTGCGGCGGGCCGCACACCACCCAGCGCTGCTTTGGCCGCCTGACTGACGCCTGGCGTATCTAGTTCCCTGACGCCTCTAAGATCCCTCGCTGGGGTGATTTGCTTAGGTCGGGCGAGCCTATCTTTGATATTGACTATGATGCTATTCTTGCTGCCCTGTATGTTGTGTCTACTAGTGATGAGGGTGACTGTTACGTGTGTGTTCCGCCTGACCCGGGCATTGCAGCTGCTGCTCTAGGTGCTTGCGAGTCTGGTGCTCCAGGTACTAGTGAGTCTGTTGCTCCAAGTGCTGGTGAGTCTGCTCTCTCAGGTACCACGTCTGCTCAGGCTCTACACACCTTCACACTTGACTCGGGTGCTTCCCGCTCCTTCTTTCAAGATCGCACCACCCTCACGCCGCTCAGTCGGCCAGTTGCAGTCTCTCTGGCAGACCCCTCTGGGGTCCTTATCCTTGCCCACTTCTCCACTGCTGCGTCTGCCTTAGTTGCTGAGCTTATCATCTTCGCTGCCCATTGTCGTCTAGACTACGCCGCGAGTCTTGTCGCTGAGTCTGAGTCTGTCTGTCCTCCGTCCGTCGGGGGTGAGTGTGCTCTTGGCACGGACGTCCTTGAAGACAGGCAGGAGGAGTTCCAGTGTTTTGCTGCTACTTTACCTCATCTCGTGTCCATGCTGATTGCCCCTAAGGGAGAACCGGATGCACCAGACATCCCGACTCCGCGCTCTTACGCAAAGGCGATATAGGGTCCCTACTCCTCTCAGTGGCAGTCAGCCATGGACGCAGAGATGGCTTCCTGAAAGTCCATAGGCACCTACGTTGACGAGGTTCCCCCACCTGGGGCGAACATCGTTAGTGGCATGTGGATTTTCAGGGTGAAGCGGCCGCCGGGTTCTCCGCCTGTCTTCAAGGCACGTTACGTGGCTCGAGGCTTCAGTCAGCGGCAGAGAGTTGACTACTTTCAGACCTTCTCTCCCACCCCGAAGATGACCACTCTTCGGGTGCTGCTACACATCGCCGCTCAGCGCGACTACGAGCTTCACTCTCTTGACTTAAGCACTGCTTTCCTACAGGGCAGCCTGCACGAGGAGATCTAGCTGCGCCGCCCTCCTGGCTTCACTCAGTCGTTTCCTCCTGGTACCCAGTGGAGCCTCTGGCGGCCAGTTTACGGTCTCCGCCAGGCTCCCCGCGAGTGGCACGACACACTGAGGAATACGCTTGCGGCTCTTGGGTTTGCTCCTTCTACTGCTGACCAGACGCTGTTTCTGCGCACCGACACCTCGCTGCCGCGGTTCTACATCCTCGTGTACGTCGACGACTTGGTCTTTGCCACTGCTGACACTGCTGGACTCGCTCACGTGAAGTCGGAGCTGCAGAAGAGACACACGTGCACAGACCTGGGTGAACTGCGCAGCTATCTTGGCTTGCAGATCACCCCGGACAGAGCACGACGCACCATTACCCTGACTCAGTCACACATGGTGCAGCAGGTCCTTCAGCGCTTCGACTTCACGTACTCCTTGCCTCAGGCCACTCCTCTGTCTACTCGCCACTCGCTCTCAGCTCTGCCTTGGATGAATCCGTAGAGCCGAGTGGCCCGTACCCAGAGCTTGTTGGCTGCCTCATGTACCTGATGACCTGCACTCGTCTTGACCTAGCATACCCTCTAAGCATCTTAACACGCTATGTTGCTCCTAGGAGACACCGATCAGAGCACATGGCTGCTGCGAAGAGGGTGTTGCGCTACTTGTGCAGTACGTCGTGAGAAGAATAGAACGAGAATGAAATGACTATGAACGAAGTGAGTATAAATAGGAAACCCTAATTGGGTTGTACCCCCTATGGGATACCCCACTATAGCCTACACAAATAAGTAAGCTATAATGTTCTGACACACCCCCATAGGCAAAGTGGGGGAGAACAAGGGGTCACAAGACCAGTCAAGCAAAGCAAAGCAAAGCTCAGGGTGGATCACAAAGTCACCACACATTCCGAGCACAAGTTCAAAGGCCAGAAGGCCAGTTCACATGCAAGATCATATATAGAGATATACAAGAGTCAAGCAAGCAAGAGCAAGAGTATATACAGGTGAAGGTACAAGCAAGGTCAAGAAGTGAGCAAGTGAGGCAAGACAGGCACAAGACCCAGCTACGTGCACCAGCGCTGATGATCACAAGGCGCAAGTCCCTTGGTGAAGACATCAGCAGTGTTGGCCTCAGAGGCCACGTACGCAAGTCGCAACTGTCCACGCTGTTGTAGCTCACGAGCAAGAAAGTAGCGGAGAGCAATGTGCTTTGTCCTGTGCTCCAGTCGCTGCTCTCGACACAAGGCCAGCATGGCCTTGTTGTCTACGTACAGGACTGGAGGAGAACGAGGCGGCTCTCCAAGGTCGGTCAGTAGGTAGGTGAGCCAGCGAAGCTCCTGGGCAGCCATAGCCCCGGCGTAGATCTCAGCCTCACAACTGGAGCCGAGGACAGAAGACGAGCGGGTAGCCCGCCACGAAACAGAGCCGGAACCAAGGCTGAAGGTGTAACCCTGTGACGACCGCTGCGTAGCCTGGTCGTCAGCCCAAGAAGCGTCCGCGTGCCCAGTGAGGACCACTGGACTGCGCCCTCCAAGCACTAGCCCCATGCCCGAAGTACTGCACAAGTAGCGCAACACCCTCTTTGCTGCAGCCATGTGCTCTGGTCGGTGTCTTCCAGGAGCAACATAGCGTGCAAGAATGCTAAGAGGGTATGCAAGGTCAGGTACATGAGGCAGCGAACAAGCTCTGCATACGGGCCACTCGACTCTACGGACTCATCCGAAGGCAGAGCTGAGAGCGAGTGGCGAGTAGGCAGAGGAGTGGCCTGAGGCGAGGAGTACGTGTAGCCGAAGCGTTGAAGGACCTGCTGCACCATGTGTGACTGAGTCAGGGTAATGGTGCGGCGTGCTCTGTCCTGGGTGATCTGCAAGCCAAGGTAGTTGCGCAGTTCACCCAGGTCAGTGCACGTGTGTCTCTTCTGCAGCTCAGACTTCACGTAGGCGAGTCCAGCAGTGTCAGCTGTGGCAAAGACCAAGTCGTCGACGTACACGAGGATGTAGAACGGCGGCAGAAAGGTGTCAGTGCGCAGAAACAGCGACGGGTCGGCAGTAGAAGGAGCAAACCCAAGTGCCGCCAGCGTAGTCCTCAGTGTGTCGTGCCACTCACGTGGCGCCTGGCGGAGACCGTAGATTGGACGCCGGAGACTCCACTGGGTAGCAGGAGGGAAAGACCCAGTGAAGCCAGGTGGGCGACGCAGCCAGATCTCCTCGTGCAGGCTGCCCTGCAAGAAAGCAGTGATGAAGTCGAGAGAGTGCAGCTTGTAGTCACGGTGAGCAGCAACGTGCAGCAGTACCCGAAGAGTGGTCATCTTCGGGGTGGGAGAGAAGGTCTGAAAGTAGTCAACTCCCTGTCGCTGACTGAAGCCACGAGCCACGTAACGCGCCTTGAAGACTGGCGGAGAACCCGGCGGCCGCTTCACCCTGAAGATCCACATGCCACTGACTATGTTCGCCCCAGGAGGGGGAACAGCGTCAACGTAGGTGCCTGTGGACTTCCAGGAAGCCATCTCTGCATCCATAGCTGCCTGCCACTGAGAGGAGTAGGGACCCTCTATCGCCTCCGCGTAAGAGCGCGGAGTCGGGATGTCTAGTGCATCCGGGTCTCCCTCATGGGCGAGCAGTACAGACGCGAGATGAGGTGAAGCGGCGGCCAGACACTGGAACTCCTCCTGCCTGTCCTCAAGGACGTCCGTGCCAAGGGCACACTCACCCCCGACGGACGGAGGACAGACAGACCCAGACTCAGCGACAAGACTAGCAGCGTAGTCTAGACGATAGCGCGCAGCAAAGTCGACGAGCTCAGTGACAAGGGCAGACGCAGCAGAAGACTCGAAAGAAGGGTCAGTGACGGGAGTAGCAAGGAGACGCGTGATAGTAGGACTGGCAGCACGAAGAGAGTCCGACTCCGGGTCGGCAAGAGCAGAAAGAGAGGAAGCAGGAGGAGAAGGCAAAGGGGCACGCAGAGGAGCAGTAGATGTCAAACATTGTATGTTGTGGTTGTTTAGGCTACAGTGGGTTAGCCTATAGTGGGTACACATTTCTAGGGTTAGGTTTGACCTATTTGTACCCAACCCTCATTCTAGTGATTCATTCTCATTCTGACATGGTATTACGAGCCTAGGTTTCACCTAGGACCGAAACGATAAGGCCCACCGTTTCCGCTAGCCGCGCCCTCGTGCGCCGCCTTTTCCTGCGCCTCAAGCGCCTTGTTCTTAAGGCCCCCTAAGGCCCCTCACGGCCCCTCGCGTCGCCCCCTTAAGGCCCCTTACGGCCCCGCGCTAGCCTCTCAAGGCCCCGTGCGGCCCCGCGCTAGCCCCCTAAGGACCCGTCGGCCCCGCGCTAGCCCCGCGCTAGCCCCCTAAGGCCCCCGTCGGCCCCGCGCTAGCCTCTCAAGGCCCCCGAACGGCCCCGCGCTAGCCCCGAATGGCCCCGTACGGCCCCCCGCGCTAGCCTCTCACGGCCCCCTCGGCCCCGCGCTAGCCCTCTAAGGCCACCGTCGGCCCCGCGCTAGCCTCTCACGCCCCCCCCCTCGGCCCCGCGCTAGCCCTCTAAGGCCCCCGTCGGCCCCGCGCTAGCCTTTCACGGCCCCCGAACGGCCCCGCGCTAGCCCCGAACGGCCCCCAACCGGCCTCGCCCTCGCCCTGGACGGCCCCGCGCTCTCCCTTAACAGCCCCACCCGGCCCCGCGCTCACCTCTCTAGGACCGAGCCGAACCGCGCGACCCGACCGAGCCGCGCGACCCGACCGAGCCGCGCCGCCCTAGCCGAGCCGCGCCGCCCTAGCCGAGCCGCGCCGCCCTAGCCGAGCCGCGCCGCCCTACTGCTACTCCCACTGCTGCTACTGCTACTCCTGCTACTACTACTACTGCCACTGCTACTGCTTCAACTATGGCTAGCCCTACAGTTCTCTCGTTCGATACTGAGGGCCGCCCGATTAAGTTTGAGACCTGGCTCGATGATCTGCACATGTTCCTCCAGCTCACTGCCCGAGAGGATATCTCGCTGTACGATCACGCACTAGGCACAGTCCCTGCTCCTGCTACTACTGCTACCGCTACTGCTCGCTCGCAGTGGCAGACTCGCGATGCCCACGCCCGCTTTGCCATTCGCAACTCCCTGCCAGTCGATGAGCGCGAGCACTTTGGCCAGCATCAGACTGCGCAGGCCCTCTACACTGCTGTAGTTGCGCGCTACTCCTCCCCGGCCTCAGCTGCACTAGGCCGCCTCTCGCTTCCCTACCTGTTCCCCGACCTGTCCGCCTTCCAGACAGTCGCTGACCTCATCACTCACCTCCGCACTAGTGATGCCCGCTTCCGTGCAGCCATGCCCGCTGAGTTTCTTGCCTCCAACCCTCCCCCGCTCTGGCTCACTCTCTACCACCTAGTCACCCGCCTCCCTGACACTCTGC